ACACCCGAAAGCCTAAACCCTATATAATCCTTGAACCTCGACAGTTTCGCCAGGAATCGAACTCCTCGCTGGAGTCCGAGTCCGCCGCCGTGGGTCTCCAGTTTTTCGGAGAATAGGGCGACTTGCCGAAAAAAACCTTCCAGTGCCATAAGAAGAAACTCAGGAAGGTCCAGGATTGAAGGGTTTTTTTTTAGGGTTTAAGGTTTAGGGTTTAGGGTTTCAGGTTTAGGGGTGTGGTTTTTGAGCGGTGTCTCAGGAAGGTTCCGGATTGAGGTTGCCCAGTTCAAAGGCCAGCTGCTGAGGGATTCAGGGTGTAGAGCCTTAGATTGGCGTTAAGAACTTCCGAGTTCAGAGTGGGCCTCTGGATCGCAAGAAGTCCGGCAATCATACTTAAAGGATCATGGGACTTAGTAAATAGGGTTATAATTAGGGTAACTATACTTATAACCCCAATTAAGGGACTTATAACCTTACTTACTAAGTCCCATGATCCTCCAAGTACCAGGAGTTCGCAAGGCGAGACCACAATCTTCACACCCAGGCACCGCCGCCCCTCTGACGAGCGGACCGCCCATGCAAGTAAAGGTAGATCTAGCTTGGGCGTGACCCCAACCTGAAGTCCAAATCTTCAATCCATAGATAGTACACCCCCAAAACACTCAACCCCGAAACCCTCAGGTGAGGGGATCAAGTCACACTCGAACCAGTCTTGGGTGAAAACGACAAAACCGAAAGCAAGAAAAAAGCACGCCAGAGTGCACTGTAGATGTGTGGGAAACACAATAACTTTATGGATACACATGAACGAGAATACAAAGTCTACAAGCGTTAAAATTTGGCGTCGAGGTTAACGATCGCTACTCAAAATCCGACCCGGTCCAACCCTCAAAAGAATCTCGAAAGCTTCCATGAACCTCTAAGCACAACCATGACCCTCCCTAAACGTTACTAAACGCTAAGTCCCTAAACCCTATAGACTCTAAACCCTAAGTCCCTAAACCCTAAATCTAAACCCTAAGTCCCTAAACCCTAAACCCTAAATCTAAACCCAAAGTCCCTAAACCCTAAACCCTAAATGCCAAACCCCCCAAAAACCGCACCTCGTTGGACTCGAAGCCGGGCACCTTCTTCCCAGCCGTCAGCCGCAAGAACTGCGGTCTTGCAACAGGTGATAGCGCCGCCTGTTCCCGAAAGCGTCTTGCGGGTCATAGTGTAGAGTTTAGGTTTTAGGGTTTAGGAGATCATCTTATGCAGAAAAGCGACAGATAGAAAGAAGGGCATGGACATGTATATTTCCGTCTATGTAAATGTGTTTCCGGTATGCGTAGATAAGTACATATTACACATATGTACATATTATAAAGTGTATGTATTTCGATATACATACATATATATATATATACATATATATATATATATAGATATAGATATGTAAATGCGACACAGCACGAGAGTGTGTGTGTGTGTGTGCGATGGCAGCAATAGCCACTTTGTTTTCCATACGACATCCTGGCCAGAGTAATATAGGGGCCTCAAGACTTAGAATAGGGTTTCGGGGCATATGGTAGCTATGATAAGAAAGTCCCAAAAAAAGAGAGTCAGAAGCATCATGACCCTGGACCCTGAACCCTGAACACCGTCCCCATGCAGCCTCCTGCTTCTCGGCGATGCTGGCTTTAATGGAGGCACAATCCCGCTCGTAGTGCTGCACAACTTCCTGGAGGAGTTCTGACGGGGTACTCTACAAGTGCTATAAGGCTAGATCTGTAGACAGACTCTAAACTCGGGGTAATTCCAACCCGCATGGGCTGCCCAAAGCCCGAACGAAAACCCAAGATGAAACGCCACATGCCAACTCTGGAACCACCCTGGTCTAGAAACCAACCCATGTGCAGCGAAACAGTCCGCAGCACTTGGCAAAAGTCCTAAACCCCCTACCCCAAAATCCCAAACCCTAAACACCCCTAACCCCCCCCCTAAACCCTAAACCCTAAACCCTAAACCACCCCCCCCCAAAAAAAATAAAATAAAAAATAAAACCCCAAAGCTTGCAGGCGAGGGTCGAGCTTCAGCCGCCCGATCAGCTGGTCGAGATGAGCACTGAAAGACGCGTCCATGGCGCACCTGAGGAATCGGGGAATATCGGGGTTTTGGGGTTCGCAGGTTTTAGATTTAGGGTGTCAGGGTTTGATTCATGGGAGGAGTCCTTTTCAGCCTCAGAGTTTGGGGATCAACGTATGAAAGGAGGATTACATGTGTGGAGTGCTCCAGGTTAGGGTCCCCGGTGGTTGGTTTTACAATAAGGACCCTATGCGTAAGGGACCCTACCCATGCACTATGCGAGGGATCGAAAAGAAGTCGTCTACGGCTCGAGGCCTCGTATATGTCTCTGTGTGTGTGTGTGTGTGTGTGTGTGTGTGTGTCGAATTGATGACCTTTTGGGGATCAAGACTTATCGACTAAAGGCTACTTGAAGCTTGGAGCCATCCGAAAAAAGGAACAGACGACTTTGCAAAGACGATTGGCCCCCGAAGATCTGAAGCGGCAGGAACGAACTAGCTCCAATCTTTCCCTGACCCCGGAACCCTTGGGTCCTGAAGCCTAATGTAGGGGTCTCAGTAATGACCTATACAATTTTGGGGCTCCTTATTGTAATTATAGTATAAATGGTCCCCAAACCCTGTTCTAATTACTAAGGCCCCTAGATTTCACCCGAAACTGAAACCCTCAGGTAGTTGGCAGGCCAGGAAACCCTTGGCGCGGGCCCGGGTGGGCTCAACATTTCGGAACTGAGCCCGAAGAAGCCGGCGTAGGAGGTGTAAGTGAGGGTGGGTCTGCGACTGAGGGTCCAGGGTTTAGGGGTTTAGGGTTTAGGGTTTAGGGTCTGCGACTGCCAGCATACACATGTGCGCATGCATGGATGTATGTATGCATGTATGTATGTAAACATACTCATATGTGTATAGACATATCCATCTACATATACACATATGCATTATATATATATATATATATATATGTATATATGTCGATGTATGCATGTCGACCTATCATACATCGGTCTTTACCTGTATATAAGTTTACATTCATTTCGGCATACATACACACTTAGATAGACGTATACGTGCAACACCATAGTACCCCATGCCTTAAGGCCTTCAGGTTCCGTACAGCATCCCATGCCATACCAGGCTATGCCATGCCCTGCAAATCCTTTTGCGTATGAAGCATACTGAGGCTGCACAGTGCGAACATGCAAGTGCAGGAACGTACCAACAACTAAACCCTAAACTCTAAACCCNNCTAAACCCCATATCGTTTTAAGATTCCGCCTCTCGGATCTAGAGGTTTCTCACCTATTTGGGCGTCGCCGCTTCTTTTCACCCACCGGTAAGCTCTCTGAGGTCCCGGAAGCTCATGGTCCTGGTGCTTTCATCATTAGAACCGGGTTATAGGGATCCTTAAACGGATCAATGAGGGTTCTACAAGAAGGGCTACCAGAAGACATTGGTATAGGGGCCTTATAATCAAACGGAGGAATAATGTTAAGCTTTCGGAGTTTGATTGCTATTTTGCTTGGGGTTCTGGCTTCAAGGGGATTATTACGACAAAATACGGCTTCAGGTTTTGAGCTTTGAGGGGTTTGAGAGTCTTGGGGAGTCAGTCGACCCGACTTCGGATGTTAGAGCCGTGGGTGACCTGATACCCCAGCCTCTGAAATGCTCCGCCTAAGCAAAGCGAAGATCGGACTGCATCCTGAAGCGAGTCCTCCTTATACTCGTCAATGCCGATCCCAAGGAAACACCTGCAAGGACGGACCTCGTCCATGGCTCTACACCTCTTCCCTTATTCATCCTCGCGCTGCGAGGGATGTCGGACGGCCACCATGAAAATCTGAAGCTCAGAGCAATATCATCCTCATGGCCAGCAAAGCACCCAACACAACGCCCTTCCCTTTGCAGTACCAACATGTGGGAATTTGCGCAGGGCGAGCCGCACAGTAAGTCGCGCCAAAAGTGCTCAGCTAGAGATCTAAATCTAAATACATGCTGCCTGGTCGCCAAGACTTACCCTACACCTCATGACCCAAACCCTGAGCCCTGAGCCTCACACATCCGGAATCCTAAACCCTAAACCCT